TGTGGAAATGTGGAAATGTGGAAATATGTCTTCATTGTCTTCATTCATCTAATAACTCTGGAAGTGTGGAAGTGTGGAAATGTGGAAATGTGGAAATGTGGAAATATGTCCTCCTTGTCTTTGTCTAATAACTCTGGAAGTGTGGAAATGTGGAAATATGTCTTCAATGTCTTTATCTAATAACTCTGGCCGGACGTGTGGAAATGTGGAAATGTGGAAATATGTCTTCATTGTCTTTGTCTAATAACTCTGGAAGTAAGGAGATGTGGAAATGTGGAAATATGTCTTCAATGTCTTTATCTAATAACTCTGAAGTGTGGAAATGTTGAAATGTGCCTCCATTGTCTTTATCTATTAACACCGGAAGTGTGGACGTGTGGAGAAATGTGTCTTCATCACTAACTCTGGAAGTGTGGAAACCTGGAAATGTGTCTTGTTTGTTTTAATCTAATAAATCTGAGAGTGTGGAAATCTGGAAATGTGTCTGGGATGATTTGGGAATTAAAAATAGGACTCGCGCACGAGGAAATGACTGGCGTTACTTCCGATTGCTGTCAATCGCAAGACGGTGACATTGCTTGTTTCAGCTCACCGCCCGGACGCATATTTTTGTAGTTGTTTGTTCGGGCGGAAAATGGACGGCCTTTTTGTACAGAATGTGACTGTTGCTGGTTTGGCTTTCAAGAAATACGATTGGCGACCAAGTAAGCACGAGGATGTGCTTCACTAAGGATTTTCAAGCTCTTTGCACTATCAACTTTTAAAAAAACGCATAAAAAAGAGGTACGGAAAAAACATTATGGTAGTTTGCATTTCACCATGCTTAAGATTACGAACCTTGGTCCGATAAAATGCGTCTCAGTTAGGATTTTTTTCATCAAAGTCTGTTTTTCGAGACTAAAATGTCTGAATTTGTTTTTTTCTGTGAAACACACAAGACGGATTTTTGATGTAGGTAAGGATTACTGAGTACGGTCACGCCGAATGCATTTACAACCCAATGTGACTTTCGTTTAGGTAATGTTCTTTGAAATGTATTTCAAGTTATCCATGTACATGCATATCCTTTTTAGCAAGTTGTAGTCTGTACCTCTAAGATCAAACGATTTAAAACTTAGTCATTACTACATATATTTACGTCAGTTCGCAGACAAATATCACAAAATAATTTTATATCTTCCAAATGACCATGAACTATCAAAATACTACAAGAAGTAAAATGTCGACACCCCGCGCTGTGACCATATGTCGTCGTCGCTTTCTTTATGGCTTTAACTGATCTCTTAACGCTATCGTTCACATTATTTGGCCTGGCATTTAATATATGTTAGAAAATGCGACCTCGTACTGTGAAAGTTATATTCAAATTTCTTAAGGTGATCATAAGTAAAACAAAATCTAATATAAAAGGCCAGTACACATTATGCCTAATTAGGTAATCGTACAGGTAGTTTGTGTACAGCCCGGCCCCCTCTCTTACAATAAAACTGTTTTTCTGTCACAAGCGCCTTTCAAATATCTTCTGCTTACTTTTAATTTAAAACAAAACTAAAAAAAACTATCGATTTAAATGGTTACAATAAATTTGTAAATGAACTTCGTGTTGTCTGATTTTGTTAATCAATCCAACTCGTACCATTACAGAGCGAAGCAGTCCTATCACCATAATTTATGTAATTTATACAAATCCTAATGAGACTCTTTCGGAAACTTTCAGTCAATTTCAGGGGTAAGGACCTTAAAGTTAAACAAACTAGGTTACACTCGACTGGTTTTTTCCCGTTAATAGATAATTTCAAATTCAGCCTGTAAGTATAAGAAACCTATGTACATTTCAGTCCATAATCACATGATCTCAAAAATGGCAATCATCAAAATCCCTACATGCCACATCAGGTTCAATGTATCAAGTATAATATTATTTAGCATTTTCAGATATTTCCTCCCAATTTAAGAACAGAGTAGAATTGTTCAAGCTCTCCTTATTGTAAAAAAATGTTCGTTGCAATTGTGTGGGATTCAGGCTGCTGGTCAGTTTGATTGGAGCACTTTCGCTCTGAAAATTTTTATTTTAGAGAAGGTGTAAATGTTGGTATCGATAACTATCTGGTGGCAAGATCCAGGGAATTAAGCAAAAAGCTTTATACCAAAAGCTGGTAAGCCTGTAATAAAATCAGTCAACCATCATGAATTAGATAGTTAACAAATGACGTGTTTGCTAGTGATGAAATCATTCATTATTGAGTCCCTAATTTTCCTTGTTTTGAGTCAGGTAACCCTGAATCTCCCTTGATAGTCTTGCTTTGGCGATCAGACCATCCTTCTTACTATTGGGGAGGTTCATATCTTGGAAAAGGAAACACTCCTCGTACTGCTCTTTGCTGAGAGTAGTATTTTGAGACAGGGCAGTGTCTGTTACATGGTCAGGTGGGTTTTTAACAAAAGCAACAGTCCTTTCCAAGGTGACTGTCTCTCCAATTCCAGCTCTGGCCAAGTCTGACATAGCGTCTTTCACAACAGCTGGAGTCCATACCACTCTCGTTTTAGAGGAGGCACATGCCCTAAGATTGGAGACTGTACAGACTGGTCCTGGAAAACTGACAATCTTGTCTATCAGGCTATCTTGACTCTCCACTTCCTCATCCAACATGATCTGAAGAAAAACATAATGATGTTCTTAATGGAAACATATATATATATACATTTTTTATCAGAACAAGAAACCATAGTGGGCTAGTGAACATGATGCATACTTTCATTTTGTCAGGCCTTGCACCAAAATCTCTATTTGCCAGATATGTGCAATAAGTGGAAAGGGAATTGAACTTCTGGGAAATTTTTGGGTTCCAGTTTTCTTCCATTTTATATGGAAGAAGCCAGGGATCATGTTCACAGGTGGTGCAAAAAACTCTGCTCTCCAGTCCATGCAATATCCCCATGGACTACCCTTATAGACTATCCCAAAATGGACTATCCTGCTGGAGTTTAGTGGTTAGGGCCAGGAAACTGAGGAAATTAGGTTTCATTCAGAGTGGTTTTACTGGAAAACTGACCTGAAATCAAGTCAGCCCCTAGTCCCAGTCGAGAGGAGTATGAAATGAAAATGTATGGGCAGAAAAACAAAATAAATGACATTATTCCTACCTTGTCTATTTCTTTGCGCTGTTGCTGAAAGTAAGTCATCAATTTCATTGCATATTCCATATACTGCTTGGGGATGATTCGGGGCACTGGCCCATAAAAGTGAAATAGTGGTCGGCAGATATAGCTGTACACAACAAACAGCGTCACAGCCAGTCTTAGGACCAGGCGTCTCTCTTTTCCGCCCTCTGAAGCGGCAGTCTTAATTTGCAGAAACTGACCATTTTGCCATTGATTGTTCAATCTGGTGCAAATTTGCTCATCGAACTGGTCATAGACATCCAATGCCTCTTTATTTAGAGAGTACACAACATCTCCATGTTTGTGATCATCATATATGGCCTTGTATAAGTCGTTTAGGTTGGTGAGGTGGGTGTCACTCAGCTGTTCTGCAAAAGGTTGCGTCTGTTTTCTTGTTAATGCCTTCGGGCGCAAAACAGCGATCAAAAATCTAAGATCGAACCCGGACTGACTTGCCACCATCATTGGATAGATTTCACTGAAGAATTGTCTGACCTGGGAAAGAGAACTGATACCCTTAGCTGCTGAGGTTTTGTACACCTTCAATCTTTCTTTTAGTAGAGTTTTTATTATATCCAGAACTTTCCGAAAAGAGGCTTCTTTGAATCCTTTATACTTATGGAGGAACACACGTATAATTGAGCTCTTTCGCTCGCATATGTTTTCTGTATTGTAAAATATCGGCGTTGTGGATGCTACATTGTGAAAGATGAAAAGATGCGCTTAACAATTTTGGCAATTTAACGCGTAAGTCAGAACTAAACAATTGAATTTCGCGCAAAACTTAGTAAATTTAATTTCGCGCCATTTTTTGCTCTATGAAATTCCGCGCACAAAGATAGTAATATGTTATTTTGGCGCCATTTCTGTTTGCATGAAATTTCCCGCCCTAAGTTTGTTACAAAATTTACTTTGCGCCATTTCTGTTTGCATGAAATTTAGCGCCAACACTTGGTGATATATTAATCGACCGCTATTGTTGCATTGCATCAAAATCGAGCGCTACTTTTTCTTGCAACCACAAAACCACCATAAAAAGGAATGAGTAACAATGTAATGTACCTGCATAAATCCGCCTATCGCTAGGCTAGATCGTTCGATCTCTTGCCTGGAGTTACTACTCCCAGTGTTGATGTATATCGAGTCTCCGTCGAACAATCTACAGAGTGTACCGCACTCCCTCTCCAAATGTATGTGTCTCAGAGTGTCCTCCATTTCCTCGTTCATCAGCAGGCCCACACCACCATTCTGAAGGAGATGCTGTCGCAGGCCAACTTCGGTAAATTTGTCTAGAAGGAGACACGCCGCTGACTTGCTTTCTACGTAGGAAACGGGTTGCTTACAACCGAATGAGAAACATTGATTCTTTCCGCCCGATGGTGGACAAATGCCCAGGGTGAAAAGCGCTAGGTTTTCACTGTACGTTGTGGTCATTTGAAGCTTACAAAGACCAAGAAGGGACGAAACTGTGGGAAGGATCGACATGAACATAAGTTCCTTCGTTGCCCCTTGTGCGTTTGAGAATTTTTCCAACCATTCACTGAAGTAAGGAGGAGATACCTCATCCCAAGGAAGAAGCACCTCTGCTGCCTTGACAGCCACTTCGTTAATTCGCTGGTCGTCCACAATCTTACTTAAGCGCCTTCGTTTGTTTGGTATACCGATACTCGGTGGTGATCTCCGCGTAGCCATCTTGCAAGTTTTGAAATTCGGCGGGAGAAATCCCCCTTTTAAAATGGAAATGTTCAATCCCAGAAGACCACACAAGCATCTTCGTTTCCAGGGCTGTTCTGTTTTACCGCCACGACTGGAAAGGAAATGAAAATGGGAACCCACACCCCGCGACACCGCCTTACCTTGTCTTCTTCCCCTAAAGAATTCTTTAGAATCGCATTCACGCAGGCCTCTGAAACGGTACATTTCTCTATAAAAAGAAAACGAATTTCAATTTTCAAAAAATACATTTTCTGGCCCTTCTCGTGCATTCTCTTTTGTATTTTATTCCGTCGTGAATAACTTCAAAAGCAAGTACAGTTCCCTTTCTTTTCTTTGTTTTCCTTCTTTTTGCTCGGCCGGCCTCCAAAGGAAACGCCCTCTTTTAAAAATGGGCTCTTTTTTTTTTCTTCACGGAAAAATCGCACTCTGGTGTCTTCAGCGCGCGCTAAAGATATGAGGGCATGCTAAAAATAGATCAGCGAACTAAAGCAGTGCAGAGCGTATGGCTACTTGCCTGCCTGAGCTGGGTAAAGCCATGTTTTTAATAGCTGTATAAAACTCGGTGGTCGCAAAATGGAATTCTGTCATTTCCTATACGCGAAATCCTTACATGAGTGCACACGCTTTTTATTCATATACTTACAATAAGCGACGGTGAGAGTACATTTGGAACTGTTCAGTTGCATTACAGACCTTACGAGACCAATTTACTAACAAACTCTTCAGAGTGAGAAGATCTCTCAAGGTAGTGAGCTACAAACGGAATTGTGTTTTCATCAACTCGAGTCTTCTAGAATATATTAAGAGCTTAGTTGCTTTACAGGAGAAGCTAGGACGAAAAGACAAAGCGTACTGCAATGACCTTTTGTCTTTATACATTGTGGTTCTTTGAATTTGTATTGATTTCATTGATTTTATCTTTCTTTGTTTCTACTATGTTCTCAGCTACTCTAAAATTACTGCAATGCAATACGCATAAGTCACCCGAGCCGATCGTTTGCAGATATTTATGCATATATACTCTTGTTATTTCCTTTGAAGGCTGTGATTTCTTAGATGGAGCTTCCTTATTGGAACTTTTTTAAACGGTTTTTGTTTTTGTACCAAGAAAATTTGCTGACGAGAAGCCCGAGGTCACACCACCTCCCAACCCGACCCGCCCCGTGGTCGATTTGATTCTATTAAAACCAAAGGCGGCCGCCCACATGACAGTAAGCCCTTGATCCCGACGATCTTAATGTAAAAGGGGCACTGAATCAGTACACAGGCGCGAACCTGGGAAGCTGCTAATTGACTAGTGGTGCCTTTTTTTCAAGAGAGAAAGAAACTGTGGCAAGCTAAAAGGAAACACATTGCTTTACTGCAAGGGTTTTCGATTTCTATTGTACCAAGCATGTGCTGATACTTTAGATAAGTGAAACTATCAGATGATGTAAAACTACTGATAATGCTGTGACGTTTCCTAAGTAAAAGTAGATCATTGTACACAGACGACTGTTCAGAGAATACGCTAATAGAGGACGGAAGGGAAAAGGGTGATGTTTTGCCATTTTAAAGTACAATGCGGAGCTACTGGCAGTTTACCGTGCTATTCTCATTTTTCGTTACAACATATTCTGCTTTCACGGATGATTTAAAGGAATGCATACAAAAAGGGATCGCTACTCCTGGTATGCGAGAAAGGATCTCTTTCTGCCACCTAGTTCCTCCTAATCCTTGCCACACACCCGTCGACAGTTCAGCGCCTCCTGAAATACTTTATTCGTATTTCTTTCCGGACATATTGTTTTGGGATCCGCTGTCAAGAATTCCCTCTCTTAAAGGCTTCCTCAAATGCCCAAGAGAAGCATGTTCAGGAAAAAACAGCTTCCTTAGGGTCGTCGGGTGGAAAGATGGCAAGACCGATAGGAATAATCCTCGTCGACTGTATGGCCTGACATGTCCTGTTATGTTAGTGAGCCGGGTATATCGTTGTCAGTCGCACAATCATGAGATAATTGCTCATGATTGTGGACTTCTGAAACAACTACTTGGCGTAGACAGAGAACCATTTATATTGTCACATTTAACCGGAATGACACGAGAACTGCAAATGACGATATCATCTTACATATTGTCCGGTTTGGCCTTTTCAGACATTGAAAACATATTGAGACAACACTTGTGGAACAGTCTCGCAGAGCGATGCAAAACATATAATTTGCATTTTCCAAATTCCAAAAAGCTCTTCCCTTCGAATTTAGAAGAGGACGTGAAGCAGATTTGGAAGGAACCCAGCAATGATTTTATAGAAAGTGTCTTCCTAGCAGATTTCATGGATAAAGAGAACCTCTATACTGCTAGAATGGTCGATATCGACATTGGACCAAATGAATGGATATCAATGGATCACACGTTCAAAGTGGCCTGTAACATTGGTTTGAAGAGGAAATCAGATAGTAAATGGGAAACCCTGTATGACTCATTATTTTGTGTCATGAATGAAAAGGGACAGGTAATGGGGTGGCAGTTTACTAAAGGAACTTCATTTGAAAGTGTTAGGAAACTCTTACAAGGAATTAAGAAACGTTGTGACAAAAAGAAACAGATCGTTCGAAGTTGTTATATTGACAATTGTTGTGCTTGGAGGAAAAAACTCCAAGGTATTTTTACATCCAATTGCAGTGTTAAGCTGGACCTCTTTCATGCCGTGTCAAGGGTGGTTACCGAGATGCCTAAAAGACACCCTTTTCATGGTGCATGTTCTAGGGATTTCACACTAGTTCTGAGGAGCATCGATGATTACGGACCAATCAGAAAGAAAACAACACCGGTGGCTAGCATCATTCTTGGCAATATGGATACTTTTCAGCAAAAATGGAAAAGTATAGCATATGAAGAAAGACCAATAATAAACATTAAAGCACTTGATGAATTAAGAAAGCTACAAAACCATATAACAAAGGGGTGCTTATCAGAAATCCCACCAGGTTGTGGTTCAGAAAGAAACGAAAACCTACATAAATGGCTAAGAAACGTTGTCTTTCGTAACAGACTTTCTGTCCCACTCGCTTTAGCCTTATTCACCACTTATTTTTATGTGTGGAATGAGAAACGTCAACATGGTAGTAGTGTGGTAGTCTCTCCCATAGAATGTCTGATACTGGGTGAACCATCAGACAGTCCTCAGGCTGAATCATTCGGTATTCCACAAAGTACAGAATCGGAACAGGGCATACCTAGCGTATTCTTGGAAGAGTGCCAACAGCATCTCTGTGATGAAGAGGAAACTGGCTTGAATTTCTCTGATGTTGCAGGAAATGAAGGAGAGTCAATTGACCAAAATAACTTGACTAAAGAAGAGCTTCATTCCATCATTGACCAGACCCTTATTCTCTATAATCAGTACCAGGCTCTTAAAAAAGGAGGACTACTTTCCGTACTTAGTCCGCGTTTTGTGAACCTAATGCACCAGCAGACTCTGTTTGCATTTGATACACTGAATTGCAAAAGAGATAACTTGGATGGCAATATCAACAAACTGGACCCTTTCGTATCCGGTCTAGGGTTTCAAATTGTACCAGTCCCAAAAGATGGTGACTGCTTGTTCACATCAGTTATTTTTCAGCTTGATCAGATGGGGCCTCTATCAGACAGTAATGATCTCTCAGCTTTTATCGAGACACTGAAGCTATGTAGTACCACGTTGGACAAAGTTCTACTCCTGAGAGGGAAACTGGTTGATGAGTGGCTTGGTAACAAAGAAGAATATGAGAATTTCCTTGTGGACACTGAACTTGAGGACATGGCACCTGATTACAGAAATGCAGGTATCTTCACCGGTCAGCTAGGGAACATGATGTTGCTGGGACTAGCTAATGTTTTAAAAATGTCTTTTGTGGTGTTTACATCAATGGAACATTTTCCAGTTATACCTGTTTCTCCAAGGACAAGACCTATTACGGCAGCTCCCATATACCTTGCTTACAATCATGCTGGACCAGGTCACTACGATGCAGTGATTTTTAATGAAACAATAACTGCAGTCTCATCAGATGATCCAAATCCCAAAGAAGTGCAAGACGCACCATCCAAGGTGGGCGGATGCAGATGTGGAAAAGGTGCTGCACATAAGAGAACTGCTGATGGAGCAATTAAATCATTTTGTGTCCAGATAGCAGGGGAACGCAGAGTGTCTTGCCCTTGTTTTCTCGCCCAGCAAGCCTGCAATAATTGCAGATGTTTTAACTGCGCCAATCGGTATGGAAAGCAGGACAATTCTGAAAAGAAAGACTTGAAAGGAAGACAAAGGAACCGAGATGAACATTTTGTTCAAAAAAACAGTGTAAGCAGTAAGCAGTTAATTAAAGAAAGGAATGTTAATATATCGAAAACGTCATGGTCTGAACTGGAAACGCTTTTATTTGAGAGTGTAATTAATGAAATTACAAGAAAGCCAGATGGAGATATCTTGTCCACCGATGTTTCATATTTAATGAAGACATTTAATTCTATATGCAACATAATCAATTCCAGCTCTCTACCAATCCCAGTAAATGGGAAAACTATCAAACAAATAGAGGGCAAACTGAAACATTTAATTCAACAGACAACTTTGTTTAGGGAGTTGTACATGAATCAAGTTTCATTTAACATGTCACGCTGATATTAACACTAGGCGAGTGAGCGCGTTCACACAAAGAGGGCATGCTAAATCACACTTTGACAAGTTCTACAGTAGTCATGTATTTTCGTTGGCTCAGATTGAGACCTACATGGGAGGGCAATGGAGGGAAGCAGGGAAGCTTTTTGACAGCAGGCGAGATTTGGGAAAGGAAATAGGACTCTTAAAATGTTATTTACGAAGAGTTGGGTCCCTTACTAGTTTGGGTTTTAATGGCTTTTGAATTTAATTTTCCCAACTTGTACTAGAAGAAATAAGGAAATAGTGTTTATAAAGCATTACTGTATACAACATCGATTGTATAAAGTTTCAATTCCCTTTAATTTGCAAGGAGATCATGACAAGGATAGAATTAAAAAATCAATTGAACTTCTACTCGCAGCATGGGGTTTGAAAATGTTGTTGTTTTAGCATTCTGATATTTCATTGTTAATTTGGAAATAAATTCCCCCGAATGACAAATTGTGTTTGTAGTAATGACAGAGTTTTAAATTGTCGCCTGTTTTCCGAAAACGGTTTTATATAGCAATTTAACGGACAATCAATTACTGACACTGTTGGATTTTTATGGTTATAAAAACCCATGGCCCCCATGGCCTGATGTCTTTCGAGATGTCTATGAAATTAAAGTAATGACAAGACTTGTAAATAATGATTCTTAAACCTCTGCGTGACCTCAGGGTCACCTTATCATGGCAATATTACACACATTGATTAATATCAGGGATTTGTAACAACAACAATAATAATAAAAATAATAGTAAAATACATATTTTAAGAGGAGGCCTCCATCACTAAACACACAAACATAAATTCGAACATGAAGTCCCGAAAAAGATATACATTACAGGGCAGTTGATGGTAAAAAGCCGAACAGGAACTGACATGCATTTCATCGGTTCAGTTGCATCAGTACGTTTGTCAGAGCAAACTACGATTGCGCTTTTTTATGCCTTTATTTAAAAATTGATAGTGGAAAGAGCTTCAAAATCCTTAGTGAAGCACATCCTCGTGCTTACTTGGTCGCCAATCGGATTTCTTAAAAGCCAAACCCGCAACAGTCAGGGGCGTCCATTTTCCTCCCGAACAAACAACTAGAAAAATATGCGGCCGGGCGGTGAGCTGAAAGTAGCAATGTGACTGTCTTGCGATTGACGGTAACCGGAAGTAACGCAAGTAATTTCGCCGCACGCGAGTCCTATTTTTAATTCCAAAATCATCCCAGACGCCTTTCCAGATTTTCACCCTTTCAGAGTTATTAGATTAAAACAAACAAGACACATTTCCAGGTTTCCATACTTCCAGAGTTAGTGATGAAGACACATTTCTCCACACGTCCACACTTCCGGTGTTAATAGATAAAGACAATGGAGGCACATTTCAACATTTCCACACTTCAGAGTTATTAGATAAAGACATTGAAGACATATTTCCACATTTCCACATCTCCTTACTTCCAGAGTTATTAGACAAAGACAATGAAGACATATTTCCACATTTCCACATTTCCACACTTCCGGCAAGAGTTATTAGATAAAGACATTGAAGACATATTTCCACATTTCCACACTTCCAGAGTTATTAGACAAAGACAAGGAGGACATATTTCCACATTTCCACATTTCCACATTTCCACACTTCCACACTTCCAGAGTTATTAGATGAATTAAGACAATGAAGACATATTTCCACATTTCCACATTTCCACATTTCCACACTTCCACACTTCCAGAGTTAAGATAAATTAAGACAAGGAAGACATATTTCCACATTTCCACATTTCCACACTTCCAGAGTTATTAGACAAAGACAATTAAGGAAGACATATTTCCACATTTCCACATTTCCACACGTCCGGCCAGAGTTATTAGATAAAGACATTGAAGACATATTTCCACATTTCCACATTTCCACATTTCCACACTTCCAGAGTTATTAGACAAAGACAAGGAGGACATATTTCCACATTTCCACATTTCCACATTTCCACACTTCCAGAGTTAAGATAAATTAAGACAAGGAAGACATATTTCCACATTTCCACATTTCCACGCTTCCAGAGTTATTAGACAAAGACAATTAAGGAAGACATATTTCCACATTTCCACATTTCCACACTTCCAGAGTTATTAGACAAAGACAATTAAGGAAGACATATTTCCACATTTCCACATTTCCACATTTCCACACTTCCAGAGTTATTAGACAAAGACAAGGAGGACATATTTCCACATTTCCACATTTCCACATTTCCACACTTCCACACTTCCAGAGTTATTAGATGAATTAAGACAATGAAGACATATTTCCACATTTCCACATTTCCACACTTCCACACTTCCAGAGTTAAGATAAATTAAGACAAGGAAGACATATTTCCACATTTCCACATTTCCACACTTCCACACTTCCAGAGTTATTAGACAAAGACAATTAAGGAAGACATATTTCCACATTTCCACATTTCCACACTTCCACACTTCCAGAGTTATTAGATAACTTAAGACAATGAGGACATACTTCCACATTTCCACATTTCCACATTTCCACACTTCCAAAGTTAGCAACTAAAAGTACTCGATTCTACCGTGACAAGACATTGTAGTGCGTTCATGTCAATGCATAAGTTTGTCTCTATTAAGACTACCCGGTTGCATACATTTGTCATAAATTAACGATAATGTTTCACTTTGCCCATTCCATTCTGATGACGCGTTCTGTGCTCTTCTACCCGAAGTAAAAGCCTCTCTTGATCACGTTTACAACATGTCTCTTTCTTCCGGCTTTAACTCCACGCGTTTATCACTTGGAAAAGGTAAATACAAGCTACGTAAAAGTCTAACTTTTATCAGAGTAAAGGATTTTTGCATTGTTGGCGATGATGAAGAAAAAGCCACTGGGCCAAATGAAGTGGAAATATCTTGTGAAGCCGACGCAGGTATCGGGTTTTTCTTAAGTCAAAACATAACTCTTCGAGGACTCAGATTGTTAAACTGCGGGAGCTGGCAAGAAAATGCTGTTTTATTTCCAAACGCTACAGTTTTGAAGTTCAAGACAGCGATTAATTTTGATTACTGCAGAGATATTAGGATGCAAAACGTCAACATCTCGAGGTCAATCGGCAGTGCGGCTCACTTGAATGAAATTGGTGGTTTGTTAGAAATGTCAAACTGTCATTTTGTCAATAATTCAGCAAACATATATGCTTGGATTGCCAATTCCACGAGCAGAAGGGAAAAAAACGAGCAGGGGCAGCAGCAAGAAGCCCTTTATCTCATTTCCGGGGGTGGTGTTGTCGTAAGTCTAAACAAGTACAGCCGACATCGTCCGAGCTTCATGAGTGTCACGCGTGATGAACACGCAACTTATGTACATGGCAACAAGTACTTTTTCACTGACTGCAGCTTTCTCAGAAATGAGGTTTCCAGTGAAGACCGCTTTCCGGATTATTTCAATGAAACATTTTATCATCAGTTTACTCAAGGAGGGGGCCTCGGTATTCATTTCCTCGGTGTTTCCAGAAATTCCACCGTACTTGTTAGTAATTGTACGTTCTCAGACAATAAAGCGCCATGGGGAGGAGGGCTTGTAGCGGAATTTACTGATCACAGTAGCGAAAATTGTCTTCTGGTGGAAAATTGTTTGTTTGAACGCAACGTTGGATATACCGCGGGTGGAGGAGCGCGATTAGGAGTCATGCTTCCACGTGGTGTTTCTGTTCCAATGAACGAGGTGCGCTTTGTCAACGCAACATTTCGACGTAACTCGGGACGTTGGGGAGGCGGTGTCTCATTGTATGGCACGTCTGTTTTCGTCCAATGCAGACATCACTTGGACTCCCGAAGCACTTTCATTTTTCAGTCATGCCACTGGAGTGAAAACCACGCAACCATCGGAGCAGCAATTGGTGCATTTCTTTTTAACCAAAATAAAGATCACATTGGGCCCGAAGTTCCCGTTCATGCTGAGTTCAAAAGCTGTACGGTCACACACAACCGAGTCGACACCCAGGAACCCAATGTTCGGATTGGAGAGGGTACGATCTACAGCTTTGGAATATCGCTTATCTTCCGAGGAAAAATGATCATTACCAACAACACTCTAACAGCTCTTGCACTTGATGGCAGTACTCTCGAACTTCACGACGACGTTGAATTTGTTGAAAACGAAGGATTTCATGGCGGCGCGGTGGCAATGTATGGACACTCTAAGATTTTGCTCTGGAAGAATTCTTCAGTCTTGTTCAGGAACAATTCGTGTAGAGATAAAGGTGGAGCTATGTTCGTTTACGCACCTGGTTCGCCACAGATAAGTTACAATGTAACTGGAAAAGACCCACAAAGTTGTTTCTTTGCCTACGAAGATCATAGTACGAGTGGGTTCGACAACTGGGAGGCGCAGGTTGTCTTTCAAGACAATCGAGCGCCCAACGATTCGTCAGGAAACTCTGTGTTTGCAACGACTCTCGAACGATGCCTAGAGGCTGGAGAAACGCGAGTTAAGAATAAAGCTTTGCACTGGAATTTCGTAAAGTACATCACCAATAACAATGCACTACAAAACCACACGAGAGTAGAAATCGCTACTGATCCAGTCGATATCTTCTTCGATGTGAAGGACTGGATTGTGTCACCAAGTCAGGTTTTTAATCCGGTTGTTAGGCTGGTTGATGAGAAAAATAATATTGTTTCTGGAGTTGTAAACGTCAAGTTGGAGGGATTCACAAATGGCGAGGGAGACGACGCTTCGTCAGTGTATTTACAAACCCCGTCATCGCTGTTTCTTGCTGATGGAAACGTGTCACATCTGACACTGGCTGGTAAAGTAGGGAGAGGATTCTCCGTGGTTCTTCAACATATTGGGCGGCAGGTTCTTCAGAAGGAAATTAACGTCAGTTCGGGCCTTAGAACGTGCCATCCCGGGTTCATTTTAACCAAGGGGAGCTGTGTGTGTCAAAAACAATCGGAGGGAGTCTCGAGATGCGACGAAGACGGAAAGACCGTCTTTCTCAACCGTGGCTTCTGGGCTGGGACGGTGAACGGAAACTTTGTTACTTATCGATGTCCAAAAAACTATTGTAATTGTCCCCGGACTCAGGAAACGATAGCTGCCGAGGATGAATGCGTCTTTGACGCCGAGAAACTGTGCGCAGGCAACAGGGAACCAGGAAGTATCTTGTGCGGAAAATGCAAGCAAGGCTTCAGTGTGGTGGGAGGAGACACTAAATGTTATGAGTGCGGGAAGTATGATTTTATTGGCTCAACCGTTTTGCACCTGGTTGTTATTTTGGTACTGGTGATGCTCATAATGTTTTTCGACATCGACGCATTTACAGGGAGTCTCAGTGCTTTCCTGTACTCCTACCAGGTCGGTGTATTTTAAGTAAAATCTAGTCCGACATTCCCCATCCACAATCCTATTACAGTTGTTGTTTTGTTTGTTTGTTTTTTGTTCTTGTTTTTTTTCGAGTTATAGTATATCATCTAAGGGCGGGGGTTTGGAGGGGGGGGGATTGGGAGAGGGAGTTGGCTGTTCATAGCAGTACCATTAGTCGATCTTTGTTGACCGTGTAATAAATTTGCATTCCATCCAGAGGGAACGGGTGAGTTTTTAACTTTTTCTTAGTCGGTGTAGGTTAGTCAACTCTTCGATTCCTTCATATCGTTTTTGATGATGCGAACTGGCATAGCTACGACAACATTGTTACCCAGCGAATATTCTGCCATCTCATCAAGAGAAACATAGCATAATATTTTAGTTACTTCATATTCTACAAACTAGAAGCTCTTCCTTTGATAGACAGTCTTGGAGGTGGGGTGGTGAAACAGTCCCAGTCAGACCACAGTTTACAAGGCATATTCGGCCCCGTGGTACTTTCTGTTTACACACTACAATAAGTGTACAACCATCCAGTGGATAAGTGGCTAATAATAGTGAGCTCACGCAATAGGACGGCAGAAAGAACAAACGCGTGACAGGGCTATTACTTACGTGTTTTGCAGTGATCTCCACTCTATATTACTGTGGTCAAACATAATTATTGTCAAAGTTGTCACACTAGGTTTGCCATATTCTTTCCTCTGCCATCCTATTGGGTAAGTTCGCTCCTTAGCAGTCCTTAACTGTCATATGTGTCTATGTCTGTTCAGATCTCCCGTTCAAAGGGTTTAGGGATCCCCATTTGAAGAAGATGGTAAAGACCCCGGGGAGGCACTCAAAGGGAGTATGGGTAGAGGTGTGCCACTGAGGCCTTCAATCATTCACGACCCTAATTCATTTCGTTTCTCACAGGAACTAACTTTTTTTAAACTCACACCACGGGATAAGATTTCTTTTTGCAAATACAAAAACCATTCATGTAGTCCGCGCATCGCTAACCTTAGCGCTAATTTTTAGGCTTCCGGTCCGAAAAGACACCCTGTTGAAGACGGTAAATAGTGAAATTGTATACCCTTTTTAAGACTATCAGGACCCTGCAAAACCATACCCTGCCGTTCAGCACCATACTCTGTTCGCCTTGGGCAAATAAGGGAGTCACCCCAGAGAGAGATAAAGTCAAGCCAGTTACACATGAAGCCAACTTTATTTTCTTTCAGGTAATATGGCAAGTCACTGGAGACGGGTTCACTTTCAGAGATCCTGTCATGCGGTTTATACTTCATGCTGCAAATTTCCAAGTCTACGTTGGAACTCACTACTGCTATTGGGATGGCATGGATTATGCAGATAAGCTTTTCATGGCCATGTGCTTTGATTTTCTAACTATACTGATAGTGATAAAGTTAACCAAACTAGTGACTCAGTACCCAAACTGCTGGTTCAGTAGACGTGTAAAGGCACCTTTCCGCGCCGTTTGTACCATCTGTGTTATCTGTTACACTGGAATTACATACCACTGTCTCAGTATTTTGCATCCAGCTGTTATAGGTGACACGACAGTCTTGTACGTTAGCGGGGACACTGAATTCTTCCGCGGTAAACACGCTGTTTACGGGTCAATCGCGTTACTGTTCACGGCTCTTTTCGTGGTACTGTTTCCACTCGTTTTGATGTTTCGTCCGTTCTTTCGGCGCTGTCTTAAGCCAGTGTTCAACATTAATCACTTAAAGCCTATATTTGACGTGCTGCAGAGCAGTTTCAAAGACCAGTACCGATTTTTCGCAGCGTTTTACTTTGTGTGCCGCTTGATCCTGCTTGTCATTGGTACTTATGTTCCAGAAGGTCCTCTGAAAAGATCGCTGATAGAGGTCGCCTGTGTTGTGATCCTTTCCATCTTCGCTTTCTTGAAGCCTTACAAGCGATCCATGGATATGGAAGAAGGCAGGTCAAGCTTTAGTTGGGTGAACAAGTCGGATGCGCTTCTGTTACTCAACTTAGCCGTAATGGCCGTTTTCAGTTCTGCTACCACAAACTACGATATCAGGGAGGGTAGCAGGATGTTTCTGATTGTGCTTATTCATATCTTGGCTTATGTTCCATTTGTTGCACTATTTTCGCATTTGTACAGAAAAGTCAAAGGGCAACAATGCTGGAGTGAATGGTGTGACTACGAAGAGAAAGAAGAACTGCCACCTGTTACAGACACTGTGGCTTATACTTGTGCAGAAGGGAACGAGACTGTAAGGGTCTCTCGTTGTTCTTCTGACACTGAAGACTGAGTCTATGCTAACAAATAGTAAAAAATGTTGCTAGCTGATTGGTGCAGCAAATAATTGATTGACGAGACATTAACACGAGTTTAATAATTGTTTATCATTCAATTGGTGTGCTTCCTTTTTGATGATTATTTGGAAATGCTGAGCCGCTTATGTCTCTTGAAGACAGGAACTTAAATAACTTGCGCATTAGTGGAGCATAGTACGCGGCAAAATACCGTAAAATTCCGAAAATAAGCCCCGGGGCTTATATTTTTCAAGTGCCCTTTTTGAGGGGCTTATATTTGGAGGGGCTTATATTCGGAGGGGCTTATCTACAGAGGGAAATTTGCGTTTCAAAATCGATTGGGCTAGCCCTATAGTTGGAATTAACGTTACCGTAATTGCTTTGTTTCACTTTGTATTTGAGGGCAATTTTCCAAGTCCAAGCCCCCGGGGGCTTATATTTGGAGGGGCGATTTAACGGTGGGGTTTTTTTTACCGGTTTCGGGGGCTTATAATTGGAGGGGCTTATACATGGAGGGGCTTATTTTCGGAATTTTACGGTAACTATCATCTGTAAGCAGTTGTCTGTAGTGACGTAATGCATCGAAAGTAAACTGTTCCGTAGAAACGGAACACGCGCACTCCAATCGAATTTTTGACTTTTGACATGTTTCGTTTAATACAAATATGACCAACTGGGTTCTTATGGCCATAAAATTTAAGAGTAAGTTTGCAGTTGTGCGCATAACTGTGCTTTATGATTGACTTAAAGCGTCGCACCCCTTTCTCAGCCAATCAGAACATCGCACGCGTTTCCCGCGCTTGCAGGCGGCGGATTATTGCGTGTCTTCTTAAGTGATTGGGCAAAATTGTTAGTTTTAGGTTGAGGTCGTCATTCCGTTAAAAGTAACTCTATCCGAAAAAACTGTCGCGAAGAGAAGAACGTGGACCCAGCTCAAATGATATTAGTTTTAGGATTAAAACGCCCAGAGAACATTTACATAGAACGACTGACGGCAGATATTGGCGAAAATAGCTTTTCAGTTTCACCAAGTTTCAACTGTCCGCTAGCCTACTGATTTTTTATAGTTGTAATACATGTAATCTCTTAGCATCAAGAATTTAAAGCTCTTAATTGATAGGTCTAGATCATTTCAAGTACCTTGAATCGTAAACACGATTATTGGCATATGACAAGAGAGAATGATCTAAGAGAGCGAATCCCCCATACATGACCCTTTTCCCACGAAAATTATTTTCAATCTATTCTTGGTTCTGTGTCATACTGCGAGTTTATTTTAAGGACTCCACCTTATTGGTCGGTCAGAGTGGCGTCATGTAATTTTAAAATTGGCGGGTAATTCATTTCTCTGTCGATCACGCACAGCAAGCGATATGACATGCAAACTAGGTATCACTTTCGTCGTCGAGTCAAAAGATTTCTAGGTGGAAAAATCTGGCCAGAGCAACTGCCGAATTGCAAAAGGGTCCTGGCTTTGAAAAAAATTATCATGGGGCACAGGGATTCGCTCTCTTAGCTCATCCTCTCTTGCGTTTGACAGGAACGACGGAGCGAGAGGATTCTAATCTTCAAGCAGAAACTATTTTAAGTAAATGGAATATTTGCAACTAAAAATAATAAAAGTAAAATATAAAAAGAACTGCCTGTCCCTCTAAGGTATTGACACACAGTCGGACGTCTCTTTCCATCTCTCTTCGATCGTTATTTACTCTATTTCTCTCCCTCCCTCCCATCCCTAACGTTTTACTGGGTCACGAGCTTCGCGGGGATCTGCGATACACGTATTTCTAGGTATGTTATAAGGGTTGTTCTCATTTTGGGTGTTATTTACTCTACCGACCGCAGTTGAATAATAGATATTCTGATCATAAAAATAACAAAATTGTCAGAACTGATTGACTATCAACTGCCCTGATTTCAGCCTTAATTGGACAGTTTAATAGGAGAGTACGCGTCATGCCTAAGTAAGTGGACAGTATGCGCCATCACGCGCGCTTCCTCGTTTTTTTTTTTCACTGCTGGCTAAAAAATGGTCTTGGAATTTCTTGTGTTTTGATTTAAAAAAAGAGCCTCATATATTACAAACTTTGTTAAGGTTATGATCAATTGGTAACAGAACTTCGTGTCGTCCAATTCGGTCTGCAATCATACTCGGACTCCCGCTACGCGGTCTACCGATTTTTTTAATCACTCGTATGATTACAGACCGAATTGGACTCCACTCAGTCCTGTTACCATTGCATATCAATTCTTTTTAACAATCAAAACTTTTGATCTTTCAAGTTTAAGTCAAGTTAATGTAGGCAATTCAGTTACTATTAATAATTGGCAAATTCGGGGAGCAATTTTTGTGTCAATAAGTCCCTTCAGAAGTTATAGGCCGGGTCTTTAAACACATGTCTACGTGGCTTACAATGCAGAGGAAACGATGTCTCTGTCCTCACGGGCATAATTATCCAGAATTATATCTCGCCTTGTGTTCGGACCGAACGGTTTAAAGAACTTTATAGATGCCTTTTTAACTTAAAATTTTTACCCTTTCTTAACTTTTTCATTATGATTTTAAGCCTTGTGCATGCACGTTTGTCTGCTGGTAGTTAACAGAAGCATATATGCTTCTGTCAATAAATATTACATACATAAAGGAAACTCAAAGAAATTTCTTTTAATACTCACAGCGTCAGTGGTGTCACCATTATAGAATTCCATTACTTCCTCCACGTTACATCCCCCAGTCTCAGTGTGACACTCCTCTTGCAAATCTTTTGTTTCGCTGAAGAAAAGCCAGCGTTTCCGAGATTTCTCCCCTCCTCTACCGAAAAAAGATCGGGCTTCATTTAAACTCAGAGCGATTTTGTTTGCGATGGTGCCACACTGACCTGGTGAGATAAAGAGTAAGAGGTTTTTGTAGTTCTCATAAGCGAAAAAAATCTTATTTAGTAACTTAAGTATTTACTTCGAACAAAATAAAAGTGAGCAGCGCACGACAGCAAATTCCTCTCCCCATTAAGTCAGTCTGTGTATTTCTTAAGCCCCGCCTGGTTAAGCAAAGTACCAAGTTTTCTGAAAAAATCCATGCACTTTTGAGCATAAAACAAGCAAATCTGGCCATCCAATGCCAAATCTGGTCAAAAAACTGGCCAAAGATGATTTTTAGGTTTTTTGATTAACCCATTTGTCCGCCCCTTCCACCGCTTATGACGTTATCAGTTTTAACGATCAAGGACAACTGTGCAGGGAAGAGAGATCTTTCAAACTATAGAGATTGGGTCGAGCAACGTTCGAAGACGGTCATGCTTCTCCTCGAAGCTCCGTGTTTTGGTAACTAAATCTTGCCGTAGACATGGCTGTGTTAACATAAAATTCAGAAAACTGCGATGAAGTCATCGAACTAGACATGCCTGAGATGGAGAAGGGAAGAATTAGCGAACAAGAGAGGATAGTTCACAGACGAATGAGGAAGTTTCCACCGAACTACTCCACCAACATGGCTGCCAAATGTGCTCGGAGGTTACAAATGCAGAACTTTCAAAAACTGAGGAAAAACTAAAAAAGCGTTTGGAGTCATTACCGGATCTAGAAAAGTGCTAGTCCAGAGTTAAAGTACTGGAAGATGAGAACAAGAACTTAAAACAAAGCATCGAGTATGCACAAGCTTCTATCGGAAAATTACTAAGAATTACTGAAGCTTGCAGAAGCATGTTCTGTGCAAGAAGCTGCTACCAGCGAATTAAAAGCGGTCAAGGCGCGATGAATGAAGTGCATCGTCGACTCTTCAAGCTGGAGTGCCACAGCAGAAGAAACAATATGAAATTTTTTTTATTGGGGACACTATTTTTACGTCTCCTATATTTTTGGAGACGGGACCACCATTTTACGAGGTCATCCGAGCGAAGGTCTAGCCGTTTGCAGAGCAAAGGCAGTACCTTCGTTTCTAATTTATTTTAAGACCCTGAGTATTGGTCCGGTCCCCCGAATAGAACCCGCAAACTCCCGCTCTGCAGTCAAGCGCTCTACCGACCGAGCTAACACTGCCGCGGAAGATGAAAGTAAGATCCAGTTTGAAAGAGTGGACCGCATTGTTACACGAACGGCTTCATCTAATCAAGCGGAGTCTGGGCCCAGACCGATTAATTATTGCTAATTTATAAAGATATCATAAAATGTTTTTTAAAGTACGTTTATGTATCTAAAGTGGCGAAATACGGAATATTCGACGACTTTCCAAATGAGGTTGATGACTGAGAAAGAAACTCTGCGCGGTACTCAAGAGCGCGGGAAAAAGAAGAAGCCTTTAATGTTGAAAGACTGATAATAAACGATGCTCTTTATCGCGGCACCGAGACTCAAAATTTTCCCCATTGTACCGACACTTAATGGATAATTAAATCATTTTTGCCTTTTTACGCAGCCATGTCATAATGGCCGATTCTCGTACCGCAGTCATGCAGTCAATACCTCGTAAATTCAGGGGTTGGTCTTTTTGTTTTGTTGTTGTTTTTGGGTTTCTTTTTTTTCCTGTTTCGTCATGGCTTTCGCATAACCAATTTTGGAGAGTGATTTAGGCCATGGGTTTACACTGTCTTCTTTGTCTTACGTATCGTGCTATACAGTCAATGGCAATTTATATGGTAGCGTACGACCTGTAAACGGCTTTGTGGTAAGTTCAGATAGGGACGGGAAAACGGATCCGCTAGGCTCAAAACGCGTTCTTGGCGAAATTTCCTTGAGCGAATGGGTTAACCGGTTTCGTATAATTTGACGTTTTATTTGGCTGCCTTTGGCAAAGAGCGATCTAAATATGGGATTCGTCGTTTTTGCAGCAAAAAGGCAAAATGAAGTGTCCCGTCCCCCCTGCGAACAGGGCCGATCTTTTGATTTTCATGAAGAGATGGTGGGTTATTTCAGATAAAAATATGCATGTATCACTCCTATGTTTTTGCCGAACGAATCAAGAAATAATTAACTCGTGACTGGTAAGCCTGCAGAAACTTGTTGCCTTGCTAATGGCATTTTAAAATAAAACAACCAGGAGTACTATGAGCCGCACTCTGTTATAACAATACGATAACAAACAAATGCAATAAATCTAGCCACAGAGGAATTTTGCAGAGCACAGAAAGTCGACGTATACTCAGCTCTTAATTTTAATGATTAGGGCGCAAGTTTGCAAAATACACTCGACGTAAATTTAGAAAAACTTTCAAAATTTTTTCCTTTTAATTCATTTATGGAAACAAAATGCATATTAATTTCATCAGGAATTTCATACCTTGTATTACACTTGTTTCCAAGAGAATATTTGCCAAAATTTGCCCTAATGAATATTTTTTAGGTTGTTTGAGTTTCTGATTATTCCCCTTATAAAGCCTCGTTGGGTACTTATGCTTTGGCAAAGGCCCTATGATTCTTCCTTTTCGTCCGGCAACGATAAAAGATTCCAGACACTAGAGAGATACACGTTTACGCCAAACGGCAGACGTGAATTTGTACCACGTGACCAAGTTTTCCGTTTACTTTTTATCGCTTCTACACAAAATAAGTAGCTAGTTTTATGCCAGTTTTAACCACAGGAATCGTCCGGAATGTTTTTTCTGCTTGTTTTCTATTGTGAGAAATTCTCAACTTGAGTCTGAAGTTTGCCGCTTGCGGTAAACGTGAATCCTAATTTCTCTATTATTCACAGAATCACTGGAAACACATCGCACCGCTAGTCAAGGATACATTCGCCCTCTAAGATCAAAACTGCTTGCCCCAATTCTCCCTATTGAAAAATCACTGTAAATACTTACCTGTTTTTAGGTGTGAGGAAATAAGGGACAAAATTACTGGAACAACAACATACAGTTTCATCTTATGCCTTGGTTATCCGCGACTGTAATAGAATGAGCAGTTTTAAAAGCGTTTCAATACTGAGTAGTTGACCGTTCTCTTCCAATAATGTATGCAAATAAACAATAAGTCAATACGGTCAGGTTATAAGGGGCCAGCTGTCGGGAAACCGTCCATATTAAATGATTATAAAAAACAGCGTTCTCTTTTCAATATGGATGCAAACTTTAATACGGAAATGTCGCCTAGAGTCTTAAACGTGGCTATTTAGCAGCTCACAGCTGGCGTCTAAGGAGATTTGTGAGGGAAAACTCGAATGGCCTTTTACGTGCTTTTTTTTTCTTACTACACTGTGGCAAAGCTTCCTTCTACCACACAGATGGATCATAAAGGGAGAAATGTTTTGGGTCTGTTGCCAATAACAAGTTTTTCGATTTAATCAAATTGCAAGCGGCAAATCAATGCAATATAATTTCAATTTTCTGGTTCTTGGTGTTTCCCAGCTTGATTTAATAACTTTGTAGCGAGTGGGGAATGCTTAAAAATGACTGCTTGCAGCGTTTTGTTCCCTTTAGTTTTTACACTGCGAGGTTTAATTAAACTCGCCGCCATACGTACATACGCTTTCTTGTGAGACGAGATTGGGGGCATGGTTTTCCAGAACGTCCTAGAATTGCACGAATGTTTAGTTGTCCCAAATGAACGAAAGTCCTTATTGCAAACGTTACCATTGACACCCTCCAAAATAAATGGTGCTTTATGAGCGCTTTTATCACCCCGAAATCGCCCTCAGACTCGTGAAATTATGCCCATTTGCTCGTAGTTTTAAGAAAATAAAGTCAACGTGCAGTCCACTGGTGAAACATTTCTAATTAAAAAGGATGGGTACTGACTGACGCATACACGGACTCTCTTGTTCGCACTTTCTGTGCGACAGGGTTTTGAATGAAACTTTAATAAACTGAAAGAGCCTTAATGCATCTTCAGTTTCAATGTGAGGATAAGAGAGCTGCAAATATTTTTATTTAATAATTGTCATATTTAACCTGTATACCTGTACCTGTAAACTATGTAAACGATGAAAATAAGAGCCATAATGGGTCTTGAATTTATTGGTCTTTTATTGGTTTCGCTTTACCATTAGGGTCTCAGTGGGATGTCAGACATTTAATTAATTACGTTTAACAGATATTTGAAGACGAGCACTCAATCGTTTTAAGAAAGTTCGAAATTTTCATTGGTCCGAGTTTCTAACGACCCTCCAGGATAGAAAAATGAACTGAATAGGGCCCATCAGCCGCAATAAGACACGAAAACTCGTAAATAGCAATATTGATATTCTCTACATTTTTACTACTAACTCCCTCATTTTACTACTAACCCCCATTTTTTTCACCTAAAAACTAACGGTCGGTTTAGCAAATCTCTGGACCTCCAGATCTCTTCCTTAGTGGACAATTTTAAGAAAATAAGTGCTTTTCCAGTCTACGCCTTATCCTTTCATGAGAAAAATAGTGATAAGATAAAAGCGTTTGGCAAACTGAAAGTGACCTTAGAACGGGGTTTTGTTAAACACAAGCTAAACTCCGTTTGAATAACTGGCCCTAAGAGTTTTGGATGTTTTAGGCTAACAATTAATATAACCGCATTATTGAGACCCTCTATCGGCAGAGGCTCGGTGGAGAAAGGTTGTTCCGGGAAAGAGAGTAACCCTTTCCTATGGCCAAAGCTGACAACAGCTCTTGCGCATGCTCTGATTGTCTCGCATTGACCAAGTTGACCGGGCTAGGGGAGGCAAAGAGTTTATAGGAGGGTGACCCTACTATGTTTCTTATGTAAACAGTTTCAGGCAAGTTTTGTAAGGAAATGTAGCTAGAAAAAGTTAGTTCGCCTAAGGTACCTCGGGTAGATGAGTGAGTCTTCCACCCGGGAGAAGGTTCCTCCATATAAACGTGGTCTGAATGTGTTCTCAATAGGTTCCTCATTGCAATGTGATTGTCACCGCTTTACAATTTTATGACATTTTAGTAACCACAAATTGGAAAATATGCTAAAATAATACAAAGAAATTGCGAGAAGCGAGGCCAAGCGAAAGGAGACGAATGGGCAGTAGAAGGCAAAGGCTCGCTTTATGCGGTGTAAACTTTGATTCACATCATTTCTTAAATAGAAAGAAAGACTGAGAAAAACTCTTTAATCACGGTAGAATACATTAATTACCGGTGGCCCGGTAGTTTCATATTGGCCCTTAAACAGAGATGCTCCCTCCATTCTCTTAGACTAAGCCTCCGAGAAATAACCGTTCAAATACGCAAATATTATTATAAGCTATTTCTAGTGGGCCACAAGAAATATTAAGGATCCAGGTTTACAATGCCTATTTGAGGTACAAACAATAGTCATTTCAAATGAAGTTCAAGTGCGGCGCGGTTTTGGTTGAATTCGTCCTAAACTTTTCGCTTTATCAAACTGCCGTCTGAACAACGTTGAGTAGACATCAGGGTCATTTCCTCGAGGACCGGGCTCCAAGACGTTGTTGCGTAACAGTTTCGGGATATTACCCGCGGGTCTGTACAGAGCCACCACGTACATGGGTCCTGCGGGATTTGAGGAGCTTTTAGCGCATCCTAATCCGACTTCCTTTGAATCTCTCCATATTACCTTTGATTAACAAAGAACAAAACAAAAGCAAGATTTATAACTAGCAATCGATGAATCGCAGAGCTTGCGTTGCTCGAGGGAGGGTGGCTCTAAAAATGTCAGAGATTGGGTGAGGGAGAAATGTGGTGAATTGTGTACTTTGTAGGGCGGTTTTAAACACCGCTTCTGTAATTTAAAATTAAGTTTCCTTTCGGTTGAGGCGAATTCAAACCTGCAGCTACCGTTGACCGATATCCTCAATATCCTCGATATCCTACGCCCCTATAATTACATGCAGTTCCTCAAGCAAAATTAAGTGTTTGTACTGCTTTTCACGGCGTAATATGATCATGAATTTAAGTATGCAAGCAACTTTTTTCACGCAAAAGAAATATATGATACATACACACTACCCACATCTAGCAAAGCTGTCCGAGGCAGGCAGAGTGGAGTTGATCTCATTTTTAAACACCTGGGATGGAGACGACAAAAACGCTTGTAACAAGGAAAACATAGTGTGAGATAAGTTCAACTTAAGATTTGTTGTTCTTACCTGGGTAAAGGTGTCAGTATCGGCGTTCAGTCTGGGGTCTGAGTAGCTGTAATTTTGTGCTTGACTGTACCATAAATTTGTTGCAATTTCTCCTGCATCGCTACATGCCATAGAACCTGCAATGTTCACGCATACATTCCTTCTAATATAAATCTGTGAAGTGCAGTAAACTACCCCTTATATGCTCCCCCTCCCAACTTATAAGCCCCCTCAATTATTGGCCCATCCGACCCGTAAACAAAACAAAACAACCGATTATGAGCCCCAACTACCCCAAACTACAGCAACAACTACACTTACTACAGTATATTCGTGACGGTTAGAGTCATGAATCTATTACCAAAATGAAAGTTTGACCAGCACAGCTGCAAAAGCTTGGTTTGCAACGCTTTTTCTATTCCGGTTAATATAAGCGCGCTGCTTAAACCCCCTACGAAGATGTATAAGCCCAGGATTTTCTAGGCGGCAGTTTTCGGTATGTCGGGTAAGAGCATCAACGAGGTTATTTGGGAGTTATTGATAGGAGAGGCATTTGGTTGTGATATAGGAAATAAAATCTGACAATGGTATCTAGTGGGTAAGCGATGTAACACTCGTTTGATGAAGTGATATGAAAGTTATGAAGTGAATATCGTGAGCGGGGAATTCGAACATAAGGTCCTTTACAAAATCTACCTCAAATACACAAAAATGAGTCAATAATTTTTGTGAGTAGCTCAGTTGATAATAGCACTAATATAATAGCGAATCAATTAAATACCAAGGTTTCTTCAGTGATCGATTCTCTACGAAGTCTGACTGATAGCTTTTTATTCCTTGTTTCCTTACTTTCAATACTACTGGCTAGAATCCTAAGATCAATAGGAAGTTTAAGGTCCTCCCATCTAGCGAGTGGAAGACCCTCCCAGCCGAGTCAATGAGCGTCGCTAGCGCTTGCATGAGGAAAAGTTGAGCCCTTATCCCGATCCAAAAGCGCTATGTTCTGATTATCTCATGCACCTAGACGGAGCTGACTCGGCTGGGCGAGTCAAAGTGTTTATATGGAGAAAAGTTAGACCGGCTAGGAGGGTGAACCTAACCGCTTAAAGGGGTGACTTGGATAGGCGGGTCACCCCTCTAGTCGAGCCAACTTCTTGCTTTTCATGTAAACGGTTCGCCTCGTGTTTTGCAAGGAAATGTATGAATTGGAAAGTTTGGCTCGGCCAGGGTTGCTGGGGTCGGCGGGTGACTATTCTGCCCTGGACGCGGCAACTTTTCTCCATACAAACGGGGCCTTAGCTTTCAGTTTATAACTGGAACCCAGTAACAGGCAATTGCACTTTATTAGTCAAATTTATGTCAGCATTTCATTTACCTGCCAATTTAGCCAGGTTTTGACCTAAATTTAAGGCAGAGTCCTTTTTTCCTGACAGCGTAGATTGTGTTGCTAAACTCTGAGCAATCCTGCTTGCTTCATTGGCCAGGCCTTCTGACCAGTTTAGTGGAGGGGAGTGGTGCAGAGCGCGGTATTTGTTGTGTACCTGAAGGGAGGTTGGTGCTGTATTCGTCGCTAGAGCTGAAAGTAAAGAAGTCTTCACCTGATAACCCATTCTGAGATTACAGTTTGTATAATTTTGAGGGGCTATAACGAATTGTACTCGGTTCAAATAATACCTGACTGCGACTATATTTGACACATACAAAACTAGAAATCTTCGCAATCTACACGCGGGAAGAAGGGAAAATGCGTTACAAGCCTATAGTCCATTTGTGTTGAAGGGTTTAGAAGGCGGAAACAAACCTGAAGCTTCAGTTGCACTCCTCTTGACGCTCACAAGCACTGCAAGAGAAAAAGTAGCAAAAAAGGAAAGAGATCTCCTTTCTCTCTTTCCTCCCCAACCTAATACTCACAGGCTTCCAATGATCACGAATGAAACAGTCTTAAAAATATTCAGTTCAGAATGCTTGCAACGCTTTAACTGAATACTTGGCCCAGACATTAATTACATTATTAAGATGAATACTAGAAATTAAAAACTCTTGAATGAAGTTGCCATTAATTGCTGAAAAATTACCGCAATTATGAGTAGTCGATATCAATTGCTTTGATCTCAATCTGACTCCTATCCTCATATAAGGCTTTTTCCCTTAAACATCAACTCCTTTGTATTTTCTCTTAATTATGTTTATAAAATTTCTCTTGGGAGAGGGGTATAAAATATGCTTAACTGGAACTCGATGTTATGCTTTCTTCCAGAGCTTTTTTGTGATTACATTTCTTCTCATTCTGTTTATAGTATTAAATGAATAATTCTTCCAATGCAGGGTACTGAACAACTCACCTAATAACGTAGGGAACCCAAAGACAAAAATGCTTAGATTCTCCAGCCTCAACATATTATCTCTGATCGGTGACTTGTCCCGTCAACGGCAATCTGAAAAGCCATCTTTAATAATTAGCTTACATCCATGACTTTCAAACTAAACTGTAAACTAAGATTTAAATTATAACCACTTTATATAAAAACATCACTGGTATTGTGAACATCTAGTGGATAATTGTCGGCGTAATGTTTTGTATATACATTCAAGAAAATGAAATAAGGGCGCTGCAGGTGCACTAAGTTAAGCATAACACTGACAGTGGTCACAGCGGGAGCCTAGTTGCCGTCTTTAAGATAGTACTTCCTCATAAGTGGAGCCCACTTTGAACGCGAGAAACAGAGTGCACAGGACATTACTGCTAAGGATGCCTAGGGTATACATCTCGAGGAATATATTGTTAGTAACAATTTTGCGATCCCGACTTTTAAATTTAGGTGATCGACCTGCGTGAAACAGAAAACAAACTCAAGGTGCCAAAGTAATCAGTGGCCCGTGTGGTAAACACAAGCTAAAGACAAACTCCTAGATAAAAAACTGGTTAAAATATGCCCTATTTTTAATGTTGGAAGCCGTATTACTGCAGCGCCAAAAAGTTGCTTTAATATTTTTATGAGTTTCTCTCTGAATACAGACTTTAGGAGAAAAAAGTTCAATCAAGTTTTGTAACTTCAGTACTTTTGTGGTATTTAAAGACCTGTTACTGAAAAGAAACAAACTAAGAAACCTGTTCTGAAATCCATTATATGTTGTACTTCGGTTTCTTTGCCTCTTTTAAGTCCAATGAATTCTCAACTTGATAAAACTAATTACAATTCCTGACTTTCAATTTATAAACAGCGAAATAACCGCAGCAAGAAGCGGAAAAGTTCAATCTTCTAATTACCTTTCATTTATCTTAAGCCCCCTTTATTTACTAAGCGTAGCAACCGAAACAAAAGTAACCTTGATGATTTGATAACCAGAACCTGCGATAGATTATTTTAGGCAAAAGATTATTACATTTATATCCCCCGGCTTTTTCTTTCACATCTTCACTTCATTTTTAAGCCCTTTGAAGCGTGAAAAATAAAATAGGATTTATTACGTGGGGTTCAATGTTTCAGTGTCTATGTTCTGTATAAACCAAAAGGTACTACATACCTTTAAGTAGATAGAAACCGAAGAAACGGCATTCTCCGTGGCGGACTTACGCCATTTTGGCAAGTCACAAGGGCAAACGTTTTAGAGGAATTAACCGACGGTTAAGACTCATTAAGAATGAAAAATGAGGTCATCAAATAATTATTGCTGGCGATTATTCCCTTGAGTGTTCAGAGCAACGTAAAACCATTGATCCGGCGTAATTCTCTTAGACTGCCAAAATAAAGCAAATGGCCTAATCTAAAGCTGAATCTAGAAAAAAGTTAAGGATCATCTCCAAAAGGCAATCAAAACAGTGGCCGTTATGATGATTTTTCGCTTTCTTCTTTTAGTTCCTTTCACGTGCCTGCAGGCTACTTTTCGCGCCATTTTTGCCGTGATTTCTTGGTGATTCTTTCATGTCTTTCCAATCATTTTTAAGGCAGAACACATCAACACTAACCGTCAAGATTTTATCACCAAGTTGGTACCTTTTTCCTCTGTAAAATAGCATAATAAATCGATCAATAGCAATTTTGCAGGACAGGAAGCCGCGAAATCAGCACTATAGTTTACACATGTGCTGTCTGAGATCGCACCTAACAAGGAAGCAAACTTCGTGTTACGCCACAAAATAGATCATGACATCCATCGAGCAATATTTTTCTCGAATATCCTTAAATTCGTTTCGCTCATTGTTAGGTCATGTTCACGCTATACTGGATAGCTACTGCACCGGCACGAAAACCATATCGGGTAAAGCTTCTGCTCACATGTCAGAGAGACTCCTGCACCTCGCCAATCTCTAAAGTAGAGCGTCACATATCAGATAGGTTCTGTGCCACACTTTGCTGTGGAGTGAATCGCTATTATGACCGTGACGGAAGTGAATAAGTAGGAACGAGTACTGGAACCAAGTGAGACGGAAGTAAATATTCAAGTCGAGTGTTTTAGCAAAACGTAAAGACTGGAATTGAATTTTAGTGCTCCAAACATTCTGCTCCAGCAAAATAGGCTAGAGACCTTTAATTCTATCACTGCCAGAGTGCTTGATGGAGTTTTGAAAGGTGACTGTAACTTCTGCGTTTGTGGACGAAATCCTATGATGTGACCATTCAAACGAAAGCTCCCTGCCTGTACTTACACATGGTACTTTTTGTTTTTCAAATTTCAAAATGTTAGAAAATGAAATTTGGAAATCTGGTCGAAATTTGCCTTTAACTACGTTTGGCAGTGAAAGGGTTAAACTCTAGGACTTGGACGACCGCATGAGGACCAGATTTGATTTAAAGTTAGCACTCTTATTTTTATTGAAGGAGGTAAAGCCAGTTCACCTATCGCAAAATGATAAAACTTTTAACTTTGATGACTTGTTTCCGCTATTAACTACGACATTCTCGCTAAAATTTTTAAGTAGCAGCGTCATTTTGGCGGGAAAAATTGATAGCCGTCCGTCATTCTACTACCAATTTTAGCGACAGTGTCGTATTGAATGGCGCGAACAAGTTATCAAATGTAAGAAGGTTTAGAATTGTCGTGTGTTTGCAAAAGGGTTAACCTCCTTCAATAAAGATAACAGTGCTATTTTTCTTTCAGTGGTGCCTATTTATTGAGAACACCGCAAAAAACCTAATTAAAAGTCAAATCTCGTACTCGTACTGGTTCTCGTCTTCGAATCTAAAGGTCTCTAATAATCAATGTGTGCGAGCGACTTGTACCAGACGAGACCGGGCCGTTGCTCTTCATACAACGGACAACTTTTCGTTTCGACACGCAGGGAAAAGCCGTCTGGTATAGCGTAGAATTATCCTTTGTCAATAATTCGGCTATTTCGTCCTCGCATCGTTGTGAACTCTTTCGCTATTTTCTTAACTTATGGATTTATGCTTGACATTAATCTATATTACCCCCATCTTCCAAATTTGGTCAGCGCCAGCTGATTATAAAGATTTAGCAAGGGTATTAAAGCCAGTTGAACACTGCAAAAACGAATAACCATGTGCGATGTAAGTCCGCGATGTCGGACTCGTTTTCGTCAATAAAATGCCAGCGGATGCGTTGTTGTCGAGTCACCATTTTGAAGTCCATAGAAATTTACTTCTCCAATATCGCCTCCTCCGTCTAAAACTATGTGATCAAGAGTGAACATTTCAATTAAGCGCCGTCCTCGAATAAGTGTGCCACACGCTGACAAGTCAAAATATTTTTAAAATAAGCGTCGCAACGCTTTTCGAGTTCATACGATAAGATCAGACTGGGGTAAGATATGGCTTTGAAGTGAGCTGCGTATGCGGGTGTAATAAAGTTTCGTCACTGGGCAAACAGTAGCTGTCGAAAGGGTTATTGAAATTTCGCTATGAAAACCTGAATAAAGCCGGTATCACTTCAACCAGGGGCCTAATGTTTTCACCCGGGTACCAGTTACTTGCAGTAGCCAGAGGAATCCTACGTTTGCATAATACTAGTCATTGCTAGGGAATTTACAATTGAAATTAAGAATTTCTTTGTGATTTTTTTTATTTCGCCAATATAACTGATATTAGGTGTGACAGGGCCAGGTTGGAATAAAAAACAAGTTTGATGCGGGATATCAACAAGTCCACACAAGTTTATTTCTCTTCTTACACTTTTTAAATCAATTACAAATGGTCGATGCTTTTTAATATACAAATCGTCTTCTCTACAAACTATAGTCTTATTTCAAATGGCGTACTTAATTTATCAGGGTTTGTGACTTTTCCTGATTATTATATTTATGGTCAAGATGTGTACGTAAATAATCGAGTCTTTGTCTAGAAACAACAGGTTAAACCCTCCTTAGTATCCGCAGTGTGCATTGCGCTGTTGTTGATACCGATCAGTTACCATTCCGCTAACATCTGAGATAGAGAACTTAGTTCTATCTTTCTTGGCAAAAGATGTAATAGATCACTCAGTTGGTCTTCAGCCTCATAACGCTGAGGCGTTGGGCAGCTGATTGGGCCATCTCCTTTGCCGGGTTGATATCCTGAGGTATATGAGCTTGGAAACTACTTCCGTTTTTTTGTATTTGACCTTGACTTTGGGCTCTTGTAATCCCGACAGCCTTTAATCTGCTTAGTAAGGAGGCGAGGGCCTTGGGAGGAAGTGAAACGGCTGCGGCCTTGGCCACTGCAGCAGAAGTCAGCTTTGAAGAAGTACTTTTATCCTGCTGTGGTTGCTGCTGCTGCTGCTGCTGATGCAGCTGTGCTACTTGCGGTTGCGGTCCATTTTGTTGTTTTGGTGAGGCGGCATCTTTGATTTGAGCCGGCGGGATATTTTCAGGCTCTTTTTGCTGCAATTGTTGGCTGTTTTGCGCTTCTGCCTTCGCATCCCCTTGCGCTTTGCTATCTCCACTAGCTTCGCTGCTGTCAGCTGGCTTCATTTCATCCGAACTACCTGGAGCCTTTGTATTTTCTCCTTTATCTTCGGAACTCTCCGATTTATCCTCTGAACTCTCCTGCGGATGATCTTCTTCAATTTTCTCATTCTGCAACGCCTCTTCCTCCGCCTCCTTAACCTCATCATTAATCGCACCACCTTCTGCTTTCCCCTGGGGGGACTTTTGATCTCCCAGATATTCCATTCCCCCCTCGCTTCCCATGTTTTGAAAGCCCATTTCGGGGCTTTCGTCTGGTTTGTCGTACATGTTTGGCTTGTTGTACATGGGAGGCATATCCGTGTTTTCACCGTTTATGTTGTTCATTTCCACGGCGTGGAAGTTACTGTAGTCAGAATCATGAATGCTGTATTCTGGCCACGAGTTTGCGTCGTTCAGGTACGCATTTGGATCGTATCCCCCGGGTGAAGTTGAGGCCTGCTGGTGGTCAGTGGATCCGTGAACTTGTTTAACGCTGCTGCTGATCTTGGCTTTGATGGCGGCGTTAGCTACTTGTACTCCGTGATGGGGTAATCCATTGGGCAAAGCCGCCATGTTGGAGATCTTAAGTGCCGAATCATCATCAATGCCATTGTCCGCCAGGAGAGCTGAAATCAAGTAGAAATGAATTTATTATTATTGGAGCCGCTAGGGAGTGTCCTGCAATCAAATAACACTCACCGGGGTTAGATACATTATGCCGGCATAATTTTAGGCATAATGCTATAGTCGAAGCATCGAGTATAACGCCGGCATAATGGACCTTCTTGAGAGAATTAAGGAAATAGTGAAAAATTAATAATTCCATAACTGTAAATATAAGTCTTTTTAACTTTCAAGTGCTTTTAGTAAGGAATTAACTTATCCAAAGGCTTTCATAGTTGCCACTTTCAATGTCTAGTTGCGCCGTTGCATCATTATGTCAGGAGCAAACTGATCAGAGAGTATCCTAACGAGGGAGAGTTCCATTAAAAGAAGACATTTTGAGTGGTTTTAAGCATTATCTTTCTTTTATATCTTGTAAATTTGTAACTGATTGATGCAGTGCAATATTGTGTTTCGGCATATGAAGGTGAACTTTTTGTCTGCAGGCATGGAAAAGGGTATCAAATATAGCCAAGATCGGTCGAGCATAATGCTACTTTTCGAGTATGATTTAAGGCATAATGCTATTATTTTGAGGGTGACGCTCAAAAGCATAGTGCTCAAGTTTTAGAACATATCATAATGTATCTAACCCTAACACTCATCGATAATTTAACTAGCCTGCAAATACAGCCGTTTCTCCTAGCTCCTCCTGCGAGCTAGGGACATTTCGCCAGGAGGAACTGCAGGCTGAACTGCAGAAGTGACATAAAAAAATCCTCGGTTTCAATGTTACAACAAAATTTGACGAGATTTGTCACCGAGATTATTAAACAAAGGCGTTTTTGACGCAAACCAAACAGAAGTGAAGCCTTTTGCCTTTTAATATGCTTGATGCGAACAAATTTGTTTTGCTAAGTGCTCTTTTCTGTTTTAGAGACGATTTTGGCCCACAAATTTGGGTATAGCCATGTTGCGACTTATTTTGAATAGAACGTTTCCAGCCTTTTCTAAAATTGGTGAACATTGGCGGTGTTAACCAGTCAAGGCAAACAAGGTCGGGAATTTTAAAACCAACTATTAGTTTCTTTATATGGCAAAAGTTGCTTGTTTTTCACGTTTTCGATTCTGATTGGTCTATTATAACTGGAATTTTTACTGAGTGACTAGCCTCATGAACATTACCGTCGTTCTAGCTTCGAGAGGTCATCATGTTAAAGATTTAGTGCTAATTACCAGTCTCAGCTGCCATTTCGTTGTTGAGGTAGTGCTTGTTATAGTTTTGAAGGTGATTTATTATGTCCGTCTCGCTTGCTTGTAAACCCTCGGGATTTTGCATTGCTGTGGGAAAAATATGTTTACTTAGTAACCAATCAGAATACAACTGAAAAACATACAACCGAAGCTCGCTTAATGAGTCTTTCAGAACGAAGAAACCGATAAAGGGAGCATTACGGCCATGCTTTCTCCTCCAGATATTTTAGCTTCTTCCTTTTAAATCTCACTAAATGTCATTTGATAGAATAATGCCTCTATTCAGTATGGCTCTTGGTGAGAGCCCCTGGCAAAATAAATGCTTCAGAATTTTTGGATGATTTTTGAAACGTTTTTGTGAAAGAAAAATGGACGAAGAAATTTTAAGATCTTAAAACGGAAATTAAAATCTGAACTAAATAGTTCATAGCCAAAGAAAAGAGAATTCGCCGCAAAGGTGAGAAGAGGAGAATGCAGCAGTCTTAAAAAATGGCGAAAGAACCCCCCAGAAAGGGCTCCAGATCTCTCTCTATTTCTAACCACTTCGCGAAACTGCCTTTTATCTAAACTCGTGGAACGGTTATAACTTTCTTAGAAATATCAACCAAGGTCCAAAATTACTTATCATTACTTATCTCTGGAGAATTAAGCTTATAAAAATCTAAATCCTAAAGCGATTTAAAGTAGGAGCAGTGTGTCTCTCTTTAAGCTTTATTCACCAATACTTTTCCTTACCGGCAACTTGGTCATGAGAAGGTTGTTGCATGATGCTTTGCATCGCGTTCTTTTTTTGTCCATTTTCATTCTTTGGTTGAGAAGCTGCAAAATAAAAAATGACACTTTAAAAACTAAATTAACACACTCATCTTGAAAGGAATTTTCCAAAACAAAGAATGTCTAAGCAGCACTACATATAGCCGTCGTCAATAAAGCCTGATCGGATGGCTCATGATATTTGTGAATTTTCATTCAACTGGTAACACAGACTGAACATTCTCCTGGCTGCCTCAAAAAATATTTCTTTAAAAATCATATTCCATTAAACTGAGCATAAAGAGAATTTAATTCCAGTTAAAAAGCACTCCGGGAAATCTTGCAAATTTGTTTAAACTATAATCATCTTTTATCTTTATGAACATATCTATTCATGCCTTGCATAGAAGTCGAAGATTTCAAAAGAATTTGTGAAATAAAGCAAGAAGATAATAATTAATTTTGTGCGATTTTTCCGATACTGTTTACCAGAAGCTAAAGAAATTAGCCTTAGCTAAACATCTTTAGTCTTTATGGCTTCCGTTGTGAAAGGATCTTTGGTTTACATTTCTAATTTCATAACAGTGCCCTATTAAGATAATAATGTCACTAAACTAAAGCACAAATACAATAGTCTCCGCCACAACTCGGTTGCAGAAAGGTAATTGTAAGAAAATCGAGGAATCATTGACCCACCTTTGGGTAAGCGTCCAACGTGCGATAGTTTCCTCAGTGGCCTCGCCCGCTTGGAAGTTTTCTTGAAAGTTGCGCCTACAATAAAAAGCGATGAATATCATCGTACATAACAAAAGGGTTATTTTAGATTGAGTTATTAATGTTAGTGTCCCCTTTTTTATATGGAAGTGCTCGGTTTTGTGTGTTGTCTTTGTTGGTCGTCAGCTAGCCTGCGAATACAGCTCTTGCGGAAAGGTCCCTAGCCGCTAAGAGGAGCGTGGACAGACGGTTGTATTCTCAGGCTAGTCGTTTTGATTTAATTAAACGGATTCAACCAATATATAAAAATAGATTATTGAATAACTTCAGTAAACTATAAATATAGAATTGTTCTTTGATCGTGTTATTCTGGTCAACAGTTGACCCGCACCTGTTAGTCATAAATATCAAAAGAAGAATGGGTTGTTCAGATGCAATATATTAACTAATAACCGATAATATCGCTACAATACGCGAAAATAGTTTTTAAAAAAGATCTCCAGCTTGCAATACTAACTAATACGCAGCTTCCGTGTATGACGGATCACAATAAATGATTTTCGTTTTCCACACCATACACCACACATTGCCTCTTTTTAACAATAAATTTTTAGCAGTGAACAAGATCATCTCTCCTTTGGGTCTTTGAACAGAGACAATAAACCACATTGTAATAGTCCAGCCAGCACCATGAATGTGTTTTGCGCCGGATAGAACCCTCCCACAACATTGTGTTCATGTAAAATGCAGACCACCGGTAAATTAAAGACGACATTCCTCTGTTCCTATGACTGACAAGATAGAAGAAAGACGATAAAACGGCTTCTTGGGTTCAGTGTTTACAGACTTGAGTCACCGAATACTTACATTGACAAAGCATCCCCACTATCAACAGTAGCAAAGAAAATTTCCAACCCCGTCCCATCTTCCTTTTTGTCGCCAAAATTAAACACGAAAAAAAGGTTAAAAGACGCGGACAGCGCGAAATAACTAATTCATGTCCATAACAAATAAACACGAACAGTAATGATATAATGAGAACAAAGCAGTCACCCTAAAGAATTAAAAATGTATCAATAGTTGCCAGGTTCACGCTTGGTTAAATCTTTTGATTTTGTTTTACCGCTCATTAACCGTCATAACAAACCGTATCGCCACCAGTCCAAAGGGTTAGTAGGTTAATTGTCACGGATTCGGCAAATACTTTGAGAAGACTAAAACTACATAAGCCTGTTATCAGGGTCCCTCAATCGAACCGCACCGCGTACCGCTGGCCGGATAAAGCCTTGTTGGAGACTTTTATTTGTATAGAGTATCTGAATACGTGATTACACCTTGAAGTGTCAGTGGATGTACGCGTGGGAAAAGAAAAATACTAGAGATTCTGAAAAGAGGGCTTTTTTAAAAAGAAACACACAGTTCATGATTATGGCTGTTCCTAATTAAAACTCTCGCATCGCTTTCTCGCGACATTATTGACAATAGTCTTTAAATCGTCTTTTTCGCGCTATTTTACACACCAGTGGCGTCACGTGATAGGAGTTGGCATTGGGCACTCGTTGAGGTCAAAATCTTACAAAACTACAAAGGACTGCAAATGAGTATGCCGCGGAAATTAGGACCTAAACAAGACCTGATCAGCAAAAATATAGCAAGCACCACATTAAAATCTGCCAAGCTGATCGTACTACGTGAAAATTAACCTTCTTGTGAAGCCACAATATTAGCGAAACAGCTGTCGCCGGCTACAACCGTACTATTTTGGGTTGTATTGGTGTCGTGTTTCCGAGGTCACCCTTAGTCCCCGAGGCTGCCGCCCCTGCCGGGCACCACTTCGCATCCGTAGTTAGCCAGGCTACTATGTTCAGAAGAGAGCCCAACCTCCCTGAAAAACTGGAAATTGGGAAAGAAGTTGCAACTGTCTATGCCAGAAAAGTTAACCAAAAAGCAAAAGGCCATGTCCAACATCAATTGAAACAATTATGGGATTCCGAAGATAACCAATGCACGAATAATACCCAAAAAGAGTAAAAGGGAAAGCTGTAGATCATCAAATGACAGGGCTTTATCAGGAGAAGAATTTGTGATCAATTCCAGGAAACCATTGACCATATTGTGGCAGGGTGCTCCGAGCTGGCCAAAATTGAATACCTAATCAGACACAACAAAGCCGCCACATACCTGCACTGAAGCATCTGCAAAAAACTAAATTAAACCCAAAAGGGACATGGTACGAGCATGACCCAAAAACGACTCAAACACTAGTAACAGAAAAACACAATCGCAACATCACAATCTTGCATGTGGGATACGCCAATACAGACACTACAGACAGATCGTGAGATAAAAGCCAGCAGACCAGACATTGTAATCAAGAACAAACAGGAAAAAAGCTGCCCCCACTATTAAGTCATGTATTAATAGGGACTAGGTATCTGCCATCTGGATGCCCGTGGATCCTGCAAATTCCAGAATTCCGTGATAGCTGCAGTAAAACTTACCTAGCGGTAAGACCATTTTCTCTCTACAAGCGGGCTTGGATCTGGTAATGGCCTGAGTAAATGTTAATAGCCTTCTGGGACGCGCTGATGAGCTAAGGGTTTTTCTTGATCATGAATCGCATAAGGAAATCGATATTCTGGTTCTCAATGAAACCAAATTAGACCCCACTATCCATCACAATGAAAACCAGGCTTCCAAATATCGAGCAAAGACCGGAAAAGGTGGTGGGGGTGTGGCGATTTATCACCGCGCAAATTTCAACTCGGGACCTAAGTCTAGAAGCTTTAATATGATTAACATTGATTCGCATTTAACTAATTGCTTGATGACGATCCTGAAGGCAAATTTGATGTCCCTCATTAATAAACATGCGCCTCTAAGCAAGAAAAATCCCCTTGGATTACCTATGACGTATTACTTTGCGTGCTTACCCAACTACCTGGCTAAAATTAAAAAAAAAAACAGAAACGATGCAGATAATTTAATAAGAGCCGTAAAAAGAAAATACTTTACTGAGAACTTGGACGCTTAGGTTAAAAACCAAAGGAAAACCTGGAGGCTTTTAGAAGCTGCAAAACCGTGACAGCAATAACTCTACCGTCGCAGAATTCAAGTTAGGGGAACGGGTGTTGAGGGCTTCAAATTCCACTGTATTCTACACAAAGGACTTGCCAAAATGTCTTTAAAAACGGCACTGCTCTAATGTATGCGAATGAGGCCAATATCAGTTTTGCAGCCCCGACGAACTATGAACCCGAAACAATGATCAACACTGAGCTAGCCACTTGGCTTAAAGCTAACAAACTGCTTCAATACGGTGGATTTTGGCTACACGACTCGAAGACTTGCTGTCCTGCGCGAAATCTCAAGGGCAACGCCATTAATATGGTCAAAATGGGAAACACTAATCGCAAAATTCACCTGACCCGAAAAGGAGAGCCGACCCGGGGACGTCGTAATCCCAAGGAAAAAGTAAAACCTAGTGGAAGCCGAATGTTAGGACTTTGTCAAGCTCTGATGAAGATTATATATTCAGGTTAGAAGTTCCCGCCTCAAGGCCGGTGCTCCATTTGTCTCTTTGAAAGTGAACGGTGTCGTTAGCAAGTTCTTGGTAGGATCTGGGGCCAGTGTGAACGTTGTTAGTAACGCAGTCAAGGTGTTCGGTGTCTAATACGCCTTCAATTTGTGCGCCCCGCTTTCCGTGTTAGGCAAGTTCTCAGCGATTATTGAAGCAACGTGTAGTAAAGTCGACACTGAATTTCTTGTGGTGGAGAGTGAAACTTCTCTTCAGGGATACACCACAGCTACAGAGTTAGGGATTCTTTAGATTTCAAATGCAATGCTGTATCAGTGGAGAAAAGCGTATTCGAGCGGTACCCTAGTCTATTCACTGGTCTAGCTTGGAAAAATGAAGAATGTTGAAGGTAAGCTGCATATCGATGGAAACGTTGGTCTTGTTCATCAAAAACATCCAAAAATTCCTTTCGATTAACACAAACGCCTAAAGGCTTGTGTAGAGTCCTTTCCTCAACGGGACATAATTGATCCTGCTGTTGCTCCATCCCCCTGGGTGTCTCCTGTTGTCTTAGTCCCTGAGCCAAAGCAACCTGGAAGTGTTCGTTTGTGCGTGGACATGCGTAAGGCAAACAACGTTATCTCCAGAGAGTGACATGCTGCCTACCCTTGATGAAGAGATGCATGATCTGAATGGTGCTACTGTGTTTAGCAAATTTGATCTAAATCAGGGCTATCATCAGTTGCTGTTGCACCCTGACTCGAGGCACATTACGAAATTCTCTACTCGTCTTGGCTTATTCAGGTACAAGTGGCATAGTTCGGGCATCAACGCTGCAGCTTAAAAGTTTCAGAATGTGATCGTCTCTGCCATTAGTGACATTCCAAATGTTAAGAACATTAGTGATGATGTCATAATCGTGAGAGTGAATGTTCAGGAACATGTCGAGGCTCTCCTATGCATGCAGTGCGGACTCGCTTCTAGGACCTGAACCGCATTCTTCGCGAAGACAAATGCCAGTTCTAAATGCCTCAAATTGAGTTCTTAGGAATGGTCTTTAGGAAGCAATCAAAAAAGCCGACCCGATCTGTGAGTGATGTCAGAAGCCTTCTTGGCACGACGTAATTATTCAGACCTCGGTGCTCCCTTGCGTGACTTCACACACAAAGGAGTCAAGTTAAAGTGGCAAGAGGTCACCAAAAGGCACAAGACCAGCTGAAGTGTAGTCTCACCTCTGATGAACTCATTGCCTCCTTTGATCCTCACAAGAAAGCTGTTCTGTTCGTGGATGGCAGTCTACTGGGGTTAGGTGCTTTTTTAACACAAAGTGGCAAAGTGATCTCCTATGCTAGTAAAGCTCTCTCCAGTGTTGCGTTACTCCCAAATTGAGCGAGAAGCATCGGCCATCACTTAGGGTTGCCATCACTTCCGATGTATTTGCTAAGAAGCCACTTTAATGTGATAACAGACCACAAACCCCTTTTGCATATCTTTTACAGGGCTACTTCTTAAGCTCCATCAAGAATTGGAAACTGGCGTTTGAAGTTGCAGTCATTGGACTTCAATGTGCTGTACTCAAGAGGTGATTTAAATCCACCTGATTACATATCAAGACATTTTCGAGCTGCCTCTCAGTGTGACCTGATTGCTGAGTCTGCAGGGCAGTATGTTAACTTTGTCATGGCACAAAAAATCAAAAATCAAAACCTTTATTCATACGCGATGATTCTGACATACAGGTTGGAGATACTGTGTTGGAAAAAGCAACCAACTGACCACAGTCAGTGTTGAAAGTTGAAGGAGGTGGTCTGAAGGTAACTCGTAATTCTTCCCACTTTAAGAAGCTTGACCGAGACCATGCAGACCCAGTATCAGCTGACACCAGCTCAAGTGCAGACCCAGTATCAGTTGACACAAACTCAAGTGCAGACCCAGTATCAGTTGACACCAAATCAAGTGCAGAACCAGTGTCAATTGACACCAACTCAAGTGCAGGCCCAGTATCACCTGACACCAACTCAAGTGCAGACCCAGTATCAGTTGACACCAACTCAAGTGCAGACGCAGTATCAGTTGACACCAACTCAAGTGCAGACCCAGTATCAGTTGACATCAACTCAAGTGCAGACGCAGGAACAGTTGACACCAACTCAAGTGCAGTCCCAGAGTATCACCTGACACCAACTCAAGTGCAGACCCAGTATCAGTTGACACCAACTCAAGTGCAGACGCAGGATCAGTTGACACCAACTCAAGTGCAGACCTAGTATCAGTTGACACCAACGCAAGTGCAGACCCAGTATCAGTTGACACCAACTCAAGTGCAGACCCAGTATCAGTTGACACCAACTCGAGTGCAGAGCCAGTATCAGTTGACACCAACTCACGTGCAGAACCATTGTCAATTGACACCAACTCAAGTGCAGACCCAGTATCAGTTGATATCAACTCAAGTGCAGACCCAGTATCAGTTGACACCAACTCAAAAGCAGACCCAGTATCAGTTGACATCAACTCGTGTGTAGACGCAGGATCAGTTGGCACCAACTCAAGTGCAGACCCAGGGTAAGTTGACACCAACTCAAGTGAAGACCTAGGATCAGTTGACGTCAACTCGAGTACAGATCCAGTATCAGTAGACACCAACTCAAGTGCAGACCCAGTAGCAGTTGACATCAACTCGTGTGCAGACGCAGGATCAGTTCAGTGTGACACCAACTGAAGTGCAGACCCGGTGTAAGTTGACACCATCTCAAGTGCATACTCAGTATCAGTTGACACCAACTCAAGTGCAGACCCAGTATCGGTGGACACCAACTCAAGTACAAGTGCTCAAGCTGAACCCACACTAAGGAGGTCTGAGACCGATTTAAGAGATAGCCTACGGACATTGTTCGTTGAACTCATGTTATACTGTTTTGATGAAGAACGTTCAAGAACATCTAGGATTAAATTAAATTGATGTCCAGAGACCTTTACACTACGTCAGGACATTTTACAGAATGTCAGTCTTATTGGACCTACTAGTATTCATTTTGCTGTATACCTCTCAGTTTTCTCTCATTAGTAAGGTAAGACTATATTTCTTTTGTTTGTGTGTTTCTTGATGTTATGTTTCCAACTAGAGGTAAGGAGAAATGTAATGTTTACGTCAGAGGGTTGAACACGTGAAATTAATAATTCTGGAGAAGATGGTTGATTGCTACCGCGAGTGCTCTTTTGCCTTCGGTGTCGGTGAAACGTTTGTTATTAAGAAGAAAAGGGTAGATAGATGTCCAGCTCTAAAGATAACTGACAAAAACTTGAACCGATTTGCAACCTGAACTGGTGCCTGTACTTTGGCCAGTGACCGACAAAGTTGAAGTCTAAGTCTTTATCCTGCGGGAGCACTGGCTGGCTGCGGAAAGGTTGGGACTCAAATTTTCCAATACTCTGACAAATTTATGCATTGTTCGTTCCTTGTTGTTATGCTTTTGTACAGGATTGTAATGTGAAGAAAATACAATACATTAAAATGCCCTCCAGAAATTTGTCTGAGTATTGGACAACCCTCACTCTTTTATACATCTCTGACACAACAAATAGTGTACACAGAACTTTGCTCCAATGAAGAGGTTTAATCCAAGGCTACACCGAGTGTACAGACAAAAGATGACCAAAGAAATTTCACAAAGAACATGATTTTAAGCGCGATCTAGCCAAACAATACAGAAAAAATATAATTGAACGAGTCAGATTTCAGAATACAGCAATCATTCTTGAAAGATTATTGGTGGAAACTAATCTTGCTTTGAAATAATAAGTTACACAGGTGGATAACGGCTTCTCACATGCACAGGCTGATTACACCTTGAAGGCTTAAACCTAATACAGTTATGACTTGAGAAATAGTTTTACGCCTAATAAATATCAACGGGTTGTTTACTGTTTGCAGAAGTTAAGAGTAAAGAATAAATGATCTCTACATTGGCTTTTCACATTTTTATCAGCAAAAGCAATTAAATAACTCAGTAACAACATATTCTCTTTTCACAGCTGAATGTAGAGGGGAAAGGCCAAATGTATACGAGAAGAACCAATACTCAGGGAATAAAGCTGAAAAACTTATGTTTTTGGTTTTGTTTTAAAACTTTGTATGTGTTTGCTGATTCTTGAAATTTTATATTTGTTTTTGTGCCTGGACCGCGGCATAAACCGAACTAGCCGAAATGTACTGGCCTCGGGGGTCCAATAAACAAAGCAATAAATCATTATTGATAAGCAAATGAAATAAAGTTCGCTAAATGGGATTCTTAGCGTGTTTGCAAATGACACCCCAACCCTAACCCTAACCTTAACTCTAACCCCAGCCCCTAAAACTACCGCGCTTTAACTCTCAGCGTGTCCAAATAAATGTTTTGATTCATGTGCCATCTCTTTTGCAAAGCCGCGTGGGTTCACTGTTTCTTTACCAATTACATGACCCAGGCTGCTGGGTGTAGTTCAAAATGTTTGCGGAGTTTTTCTCAATGCAATATGGAGGCGAGTTAGACCGAGAATCTTCAGCAGTCCATGTGAATGTTCCCTTGAGAGAGCTTTTGAGTTGATAGACGGCTTGCAATGATGTGGAGGGGTTAGGGTTTCTGTTGTTGGAGTTAAACCCGGCGATAAGCTTGCTCCAACTACCCAGATCGTTTGCCGCACTTGTTATGTCGCTCACCACGCTATCCACTGACTGCACGTTTTTGGCATAGAACTGACAAAATACATAGTCGACGTCGTTCAACGGCAGGCTGATGTAGTCATTCCATGTTCCACCGTAGAAAGGTCCGACTGAAACTAAAAAGCCTCGGGCTTTCAAACGTTGTGCAAGCTGTGGGATTGCCGTGGAGAAATCGGGGTTTGACGTTCCGCCTTCAAACTAAGATAGTAAAGACAAACTTAAAACTCCTTACTACGAGCAAGCTTTCCTTGACACTGAGTTCCTTGCCGAATTTGGTTGCTCGTGTGGTCTTTTTTACGTCTGTAATCACGAGCAGGTTACCTTGTTTAAACACAGTCAAGAGTAGCTTTTGAGCAAGAATCAAGGTTTCTAAACAACAAAAAGTCTGTTAATTCGTTTGGGATACATATGAGCAGGATGACTCGTCAAACTGTTTTTTTTTTGGAGTGCAATTATCCGTTTATTAATAAAACCATGTTCATAAATGTGCCCGCAGTGGCAAGCGCACGATTATTAAGAGGCGGTCCGTGTAAGAACCGACCACTCGAATTTCCGCGGAAAACAGAATTCCTTCATTTTTTTTCTGCAACATAATTAGCCCATTCCATTAACAAATATCGAATTTGTTTGGCTCATAGTGCTTTTTAAAAAAAATTTGGGCGGCGATTTGCCTGGACGGTCCAAAGCTGTCATGATCGTCTTTTTGAAGGTCAAATTTAAGCGTGTTGTTCAAAGCTCGCAAAAATTTCGCATTTATCCAAATAGCATAAAACAAAAGTGTGATTTTAATTCATGCTTCCTTTATTCAAAAAAGGCAAAATATTTAAATTCTGACTTTAAAAAAACGAGTTATGATGTTTTGAAAATATCACGTAAAGCGTCCTTGAAAAAAATGCCCGGTTATCCTAGTTTTAAAATAAGCTTTTTTCAAAAGTCTGACGTTATCTGGAGTCTTGGTCACCCTCCCTGTTCAGTAATAGGGCTAGTGTATCGAAATCAAGAAAAACATTTTTGGGCACTGTTGATTCCGAAGCACAAGAGTTCGATAAAGTTGGGTAATATTTTACTGTAATTGTGCGTATGACGTAATTTACGCATTTTGGTGATTCCGAACTTTCCCACTGAAAATCAAACCGAGAGAGCAAATGTATTTAAAAGTGGCCTTTATTGTTCGAGATAAACTGTGAACAGCTAACAACTTACCAAATGCTACACGAAACTAGGAATTGCGAAGTTTAATAGTCGAAATTATCGATTCCGGGGTAAGTTGTCAGTCGTCTAAGTTTACTTCTAAAAGCCGTTTACAAAATTTCATTCAATTAAATTGGTCGTAGGTTTTCCTGATCAACAAAAAAAGAAAAAGCTTTTCATTCAGGTTAAGCATATAATTACTTGACGAAAGTGAGTCCTGTTTAAAAGGAATTACACATTTTATTAAAAACACCCAGTACATTACAGCCGAAATTCAAATCATCTGAACAGTGTTAATTTCCCGTCACGCTGGCTACGCGTGAATGTCAGTCTTTTAGCTTGTCACGCGTATGTACCTTTTTAGTACGGTTGACAAAAACATGTTCTTTTCTAATTCGACTTTTCAAAAAGTATAAAGGTCTTAAAACGTCTTTTCAAGTTTTCGAAAAATAACTGTCTCCACGATCTTTTTGAACTCGAGGTCGAAAAACCCTGTTGGTTACTATATTAAATAGCGGTTTGTGCCTTAATGCGGCTGGTTACAGTCACAGCCTTCAAGAAATTCGGATAGGTTCGCTACAAGAATTTTTTTTATCGCGAGAACTAAAAGGAATTTCAAAAAGTATAAAGGTCTTAAAACGTCTTTTCAAGTGTTTGAAAAATAACTGCCTCCACGATCTTCTTGAACTCGAGGTTGAAAAACCTGTTGGTTACTATAATAGCGGTTTGTGCCTTAACGTGGCTGGTTACAGTCACAGCCTTCAAGAAATTCCGATAGGTTCCCTACAAAATTTTTTTTTATCGCGAGAACTAAAAGGAATTTCAAAGTATTTCAACATGTCCTTGAGCATAGCAACGCTAAATCTTTCAAGTTTCTTCTCGTGTGAAAGGTCACATAAACAATATGAATCATAGCAGATCGGATGCTTAGGACCAAGGTGGGTGGCTACCTCTTCCAGGGTGGCTCGTCTTTCCTGCTCTTCCTGTTCCGCCTCTACGTCTTCATTGAGCGCTTCCCGATGTGCTTTGCTTCTTCGCGAGGCCGCTAGCCTCGAAAAAAAAATCCCTGTACTTGACCCTTTGTGAGCCAATGTTTCCTCTCAAACATCCGAGAACTGTCTGGGTTTCTTGCAGTTCGCACATCTGCTGCCACTTTTGCGGGATCTGACTTGATGCCAGTTCTTTCTCCAAGATCAAATTTCGTTGTTAGGTTCTGTTTAACCTCGGTAGGAAAACGCACAGCTTCGTTTCGGGGCTTGTGTAGAACCCATCCAGTCTGCAAGTCACTGCACTCGGGAAAGCGACCAGTTTTATTCTTTTCGTGATGCTCCTCTACAACTGCTTCAGGCACGCTTCTGATTTCTTCGTCCTTATCAACAGTACGAAATTTCTCCGCCCAGTCTCTTCTGAGCTTGTCATACACCGTATCAGAGTTTCCGCGAACTTGGCTGTGCTCACCAACATCAAGGTGATTTTCGAGTTCACTGAATTTCTTGAAAACCATGTTGCACCCGGGCTCAGAACAAGAGAAAAGACCGATGCATTGTTCATTTTCACTGTTTGTCTCTCTCTTATACACTCGAGCTTCTTTGAGAGGAAAGAAGTTTTCATGCACAATGAGACCAGTAGGACCTTGAGGTTCAGTTATGACCTCTCGGTAAGGAATAAACTTGCCT